GAATTACACGCAAGTTCAGTCTTACAATATTTCGGAAGCCCACCCTACACCCTGCACCCTCAAACTCATACCTTTGCCAGGAAAGAGTTGCCTTTGCAGGTCTCCAATATTATCTCTAGACTCTACACACCCAGGAACTATCTGAAGAGCTTGAAGGTTAGGACTTCGGGTTTCGGGCTTATGGTTAGGTTGAGGTCTGGAGTTGGACGTCTCGAGTGCAGGGTATCATCTTACGGTGGTGGACCTGACGATGGACAAAAACCGACATGTGTGCGCCGTTGGCTTCCCCTGAGTTTGCGTCAACCACTTATCCGTTTTAATCATCAGATAGATTTCGGTTGCCAGTCTTGTCTTATATTGTATTGTACTAATGGAGGCGATCTTGCGCAATGGCATTGTTGCGTTTGCTGGGCTCCCTACCCGGCTTGACGCCCTTGGGGCGTCGCCGCCTGGAAAAGGCAGTCTAGATCACTTCAGCATTCAGAGCATAGCTTTGAGGATTCGATGCTTGAGATCTAGAATTTCGGAGCCATGGTTTCAGTCCCTAATCTGGTGACCAAATAGGGGCCAACAAAAGCGTCAATGGCACGTGATAATCCTGACATGACCATGACGCTGCAGAGACTCAGCATTTTCCTCCGTCTCTGACCACGCTAGTATTTTTGACCGTTTGCTGAGCGCGGAGGGGAAGCTTCTTCTTCATGTTCTGATTTTCGCTCTTGTGTTACCCGTACTTTGTGTTAATTGCAATTCTTCTTCTGTCACACCACGAACTAAGCGTCTACTCTGCAGCGCTTCAGCTGGACACAGGGGGCCTAATTCTGCTGGAAACACCACATCAGGCCATATTTGTCTGTGAAAAGCCATTTTTTGGCAATTGAAGAAAAAGGATGTCTTGTGCGCGGGCATTGGTTTACTTTTTTTTTTTTCACCAGTTGTATTTTTTCAATTTCATGATCAAAATCATATCTTGATGATGGATATTCAATCTTTCAAATGGCATTTTTGGAAAAATTGGATCGAATTTTAACATTCCAGAACATCAAAACATTGAGAGTTGAGGATGAAACATATAATCACGTACGAAAACCCGCCGGCGCCCTCAACTGTGCACCCACCAAAAAAACGAAACAGCTTCTGGCGAGCCGGCCACTGTCCCGAAGGCTGCAAAAAAGCAAAGAAAAAACAACAGCACCAGTAGCTACGGAAAAACCCACTGAAATATGGGTCCTTATAAGTACTTGGACCCTTTGGGTACCTTCTTGCCGCTGCCCGTTGTAGCTTTGCCTGGTCCACTGGTTCAATCGTCATAAGAAAAAGGTTTACGGTTTCCTTGCGGTTTCCTACCTATCGGGCCCACACTTCCCGTGTCTTAGCGCAAGGTCACCTGTTCTTGTTTGGGGCATGTGCCAAAACTGCTGGTTCTGGTTTGGAGGGTTCAATATGGGGAGCTCTAAGAATAAGCTTTCCATAATTGGGTTGGGGCTTAACGAATGCAATATTGGCTGCCAAGGCAATATGAAGGTTATATGAGGCTATACTGGGATTATATGGGGCTTATTATAAGGATTATGGGGAATATGTTGGGGTTGTATTGGGATTAGTGAAAGAATGGAAACTATAGGGCAGAACATTATGACAAGCCGGCCATCGGAATGACAAGCGCGCCTAGCCAGCCAACATAGATAGGTAAAACAACAAGCGCCAGCGCAGGGCTTATGTGCAGACCGGCTGGTGCTAGGTATAAACAGCTGACCGATGTTTAGGAGAGTTGCGCACATTGAATGAAAACTAGCAAGTACAAAGGGGATTCTGCTTAAGACTTGCGGCAGGGCTTGTGGTATGTACTAGCATATACCTGCATACAAAAATGCATGTATACATACACAGACACACACACATCTCAAATCCTGGAAAGCGTACATTAGGCCTTGACCCCAACACTGCACCACACAATCCCAATCCCTGGCTCTTGCGCACCCCAGACATAATTTATGGTAAGCTTGCCCTAAGATGTGTATATATATATGTATAAATATTGCCTTATGTGCGCCCTGAAGGGACCCTAGATCCCCTAAAAATGGCCACTATCAGGGGCCATGCTTCCGACCTTAGATCAACTCGTGACCGTACACCCTGAACCTGAAATCCAAAACCAACCAGAAACATGTAATAGCAATAACAGTAGTGATAACAATAGCAGTAGTATAGCCATAGTAACAGTAACAGCATTAGTGGCTGTATGTCATGAAGAATAACAACACTCACCTCCGCCTAGGAATAGCCCTCCACAACCCAACTCCCCCAATAATGCCTCTTCAATGGATCAACATATACCCTAAACCCTAATCCTGGAACCCTAAACCGTAAACCTTAATCCTTGAACCCTTTGAACCCTAAACCCTATACCAAACCCTAACCCTTGCATCCTAAACCCTAATCCTCGAACCTTAAAAACCCTAAACCTTTGAACCCTATACCCTTAACCCTAAAGCGTGAAATGTGAAGCCCAAAGCGTCTATGTAGGTATATGGTCTATACTTAGGGCTCAAAGGGATTCCCACATACCTACTTTAGGGCCAAAATATATACTATATATGAGCTAAAGTCTAAACTCCTAGTATCCCCCTTAAGAAGCCCTATAGTAATCCCCTCATATAATCCCCTTTCAGGAGTTTAGACTATTGCTCATATAACCCTTATATAGTCCCATATCTACAACAGTTTCCATTTCATTTTCCATTTTCTTTTCCATTTGGTTCTCCATCATAGTAGTTTCCATGTCATTTTCCATGTTGTTTTCCATTTGATTCTCCATTATTGCGGTATACATACCTAGACCCTCCTCCTACCCTCTATTAGGGCCTAAGTGTATATATATATATATTCCATTTGATTCCCCATAAACCTTAAACCCTAAACCCCAAACCCTAAACCCTAAACCCCAAAGCCCTAAACCCTAAACCCTAAACCCATATATACTATATGGCTACAAGGGCCCTTTGGGAAGGGAGCCTGGCCTCGGCTCTTTTCTTTACGCAGCGCACGCACCTGAACCATACCGCAAGCGTTTAGGGGTTAGGGCTTAGGGTTTAGGGTTTGGGGTTTTGGGGTTTAGGGTCTGGGATTTAGGGCTTTGGGTCTATAGGGTCTAGGGTTTAAGGTCTGGGGTGTAAGGTCCCAGTTTTAGGGTTTTAGGCTTAGGATTCGTGACAAGCCAAAAAAAGAAAGGACTTGGGGAGGATTTCTAGAACTATACTGCGTTTGGGGTTCAGGGTTGGGGCTTTGCCGAGACTCAGAACTCATGATCTATAGTATATGGGGTCTATCTGGGGGGCCCACCGCTTACAGAAACTGCTGCATTCGCAGCATCCCAATCACAGTCCCTACCCCCGTCGGCATCCCACCCTGTAAGTACAGGTCCGTCAGTGTTGGGACCCATGACAAAAACCTGCGGATACCGCGAATCCCACTAAACCCTGCACCCCTGTACACTGCTCCTAACAGCTGACCTGAAATCTGCACAGCCGGACAGCCTGACAGGCTTCACCAAAAGAACCCGGCTCATCCCTGATAAACCTTAACCATTGAGGCTGATACTCTCGCCTTTCTCTAGGACCTAATTTGTTTTCAACTACGTAAGGGTAGCCAGGCACAAAAGGGTACTTTTTGAATGGGGATGTTAAGATTACCATGTTTTAAGAAACACCTGCTTGAATGAGCTTCTAGCGGATTATGGCGTCTAGCATTCGCTATTTACTCTGCCTCATGATCCTTTTTCATTTTGTCTGCAAATTCTCCCTCACAGAACCCCAGTATACCCCATCAGACCTCGATGTATATGTGTAGCTTGCAGCTTCCAAGCAGAAACACCAAAGCCTATGCCCTACACAGGGCACCACGCACCTGCACAACCCATACGTTGACACAAGGATCCTAAGTATCTAGGATTTAGGGTTTAGGGTTAAGGGTACAAAGTAGTACACATAAGTACTATGCGTTGGTTCCATCACCTTCGTTTGCC